TTTCATCAAATGAGGCAATGGCAAAAAAAAACTGAGGTTCTTGTTAGAAAATTAATGTAACAGTTGCTTCACTAGGTTGGTGTGTTAGTTCCTTTTGAGGCTTTATGTAGTATCTAGAACTTTTGGCTTTTGTAGTATGTGCTTCGGTCCATCCTTGGTGTTCTATTTTTTTTAAAAATCACTACTGGCCCTTTATTGTCATTTACACCAGGGATAGGGTTGCATGTTGATTAATATTAGAGGGGTTACATGCACAGTGTGTTGCTGGTAGTAAATTTGCTATGCTCTCTAAGACATGTTGTGATCTTTCTTTCAGTAGCTTAAGTAAACATTTTGAGAGGCAGCCACTTTAAACTTGTAAGACCTTTAAGAATCTAGATACTATTAGAGCTAATCATCCGTGTAGTACTGCACTCTGCACTGCCAGTGGTCCTCTGTATTTCAGCTTTTAATGCTGGAGCCCTGGTATTCATTAGAAGATGAAAAGGGGATGTTATGTTCCATGATACAGGCAATTATTTCACTGTTAGAAGTTTGTCACTTTTAAAATGCATGAGCACAAAGAAACTTACAATTCTTTTGAGGGGAAGGTGGAGTTTTTCTATCAAAATTCATATTTGGATTTTAGTTGTCAGTGTTTCATTATTTTGTTTCATTATTTTATAGGCCATCTCTTCTTATTTTTTTTATCACAAAGCCGCTACCCTTTGGGTGCGCACAGGGTAAACCCCCCGCTCCTATGCAATAGCTTGCAAACCGCATAGGAGAGGTAACCCACACTAGGCAATCCCGGTGGGACGAGCTCAACCCAGAAGGAAAAACCCTTTTGCTTTCGCTGGCAAGGGATTTCGAACTTGAGACCTCCAACATGGAAGTCCCAAGCCCAAACCTGAAACCACTGGGCCATCCCGAAGGGTTATGCCTTCTCTTCTTTTGTTCCTTTATGTGCTCTTGAACGGAAAGGGAAGAAGATATGAATAACCCCCTCCCATTCTCTTTCCCTTGCATTAACCTAAACAGCGTAATTGGTAACAGATCAAGTGAAAGTGACTAACAGCTAGCCCACAAAATTTTGAGTTGAAAGTCTTGAAGCCCAGTTCTGTGAGAGAATTTTTCTGCAACCAAAAAGGAATAATTGTTTTGAAATCAACCCTATGCCCATCTGATGCATATGTGGCCTTCTCCCTCAGCCATTTGATGGCTTTTACTTGTACTGAGTGACTGAGTCACTGTAGCCGTATTTCTTTAAAAGGTTCCCAGGATTAAAATGCTTCAGAAGAAAGTCTAGGGAGGAAATTGTAGTTAAGAAGATATGAATGATCCCCTCCTGTTCTCTTTCCTTTGCATTAGCCTAAACGACATAATTGGTAACAGCTAGCCCAAAAAACTTTAGTTGTTGAAAGTCTTGCAATTGATTGATTAGTTAGCTTGCATTTATGCTCGTTTTGAAGGTGAAGGATTAGCTTTCCATATTTTTGCATTCCCCTCGTCTTCTCTTTCTTTTGGTGTGTCAACTGATAAGCTCATCTGTGGTTTCCAGGGAGCAACAATTATTGATCAGTCGGTCACAATAGTACCCGAACCTGACTACGAGCTGCCTCCTACAGCTCTAGTGCCAATCAAGGTCTGTATAATTTATATAGACATTCTGGTTTTTATCTACTGTTTGGTAATCCCTAACACGGTATACTCCTAAATACACACACAGGCAACTGAGAGTGCTAATGCAGCTGGTGGTGGATCTGCTATTCAAAAGGCAGAAGATGTTGTGAGCAGCATGTTGGCAAAGGGCTTCATCTTGGGCAAGGATGCAGTTAACAAAGCCAAGACATTTGATGAGAAACACCAGTTCACATCCACTGCCTCAGCAAAAGTTGCTTCTTTAGACCAAAAGATTGGCCTTAGTGAGAAAATTAATTTGGGAGCAACAATTGTGAATGACAAAGTGAAAGAAATGGACCAGAAGTTCCATGTTTCTGAAAAGACAAAATCAGCTCTTGCAGCTGCTGAGCAGACGGTTAGCACTGCTGGATCTGCCATCATGAAGAACAGATATGTTTTGACAGGGGCATCTTGGGTTACTGGTGCTTTCAATAAGGTCACCAAGGCTGCAGGGGAAGTGGGCCAGAAGACGAAGGAAAAGATGGCAGAAGAAGAACAGGCAAAAAATTCGGCTGAAGGTTATGTGCCTATACATGCTCTTTCAGAGTCCCCAAAAGCCTCCAAGACCGAGGAACCTACCAAGCCATCTTCACCTAAGGGATTAATCCTCTAGCTTATGCAAAACAAATTCCATTAAACTATTTTGCTATTTCGCTTGTCTCATCTTTTAGCGGGTCATTGTGTTATGGTTAGATACTTAGATATGCTAGTTATACGTAAAATGTCCTGTAAGTTTGATGCATAGAACAATAGTTGCTCTGGACCTTTGAATTCCTGTCAAATTCTCAGCTTTATCGAACGTACGTATGCATTCGGATTGGTTGTTTGTCTTTTGGAAATAGACTGCTACCTGAGGTTTTACTGCGACAGTTTTACGATGCGCATGACCTTTGACCTGATTAGTCTTGCTGTTTGCTCATGTTGTGAGAACTGCTGAAAACATACTGTAGCGGATGAAGAAAAAGTGTTACAGTAACAGGAAAGCATCGGAGGTGTCCTAATTCCTATCATCATCATTGTGAACTTTTGCAGTTGGATCTTGAAACGACTCCAAAATGCCCGAAAATGTGCTTCGAAAACACCTATAATTGTAATTTCCATATATCTCAAAATCCGTGCATGATTTCGGAAATTCGACTTCATATTCTTATTCAGGGGGTCAAATTGAGTAGGAAATGGGTCTAACCCGAATTTTAGAACAATCGTATCAAAATTCGAAAATCGCAAAAAATGCGATTTTCAAGGTCAACTTTAAAGGGGCATATCTCTTAGCACACAAAGAACTGGAAGGGCCACCACCTATCAAATTAAAGCCCTTTGAGTTAGCTTTTCAACGCACCTAGTTTCACCTCATTCCGAGTTAGGATGAGGGAGTTATGACCATTTTCGTAAAACCTGTCTCGGCAGAATTGCAAATTCCAGTGAGCAAAGTTACTGTAGCGGCTGGAGACGTTTTTCTTTTATAAAAAGAGGATATGTCCCATACTTAGTTATAAATTTTTCTAGCTCCAAAACACTCAAAAACACTCTCTAAGCCCTCTCCAAAATTCCACCAAGATCTTCAACCAAATTCAAAGATCTCAAGCTCTAATTTCGGATTCAAGACTCAATCTCAAGCTTCAATTCTCCATTCCAATCTTCATCAAGGATTCTCCAAAGTTGAGGTATGTGGGTTGATTGTGGAAACCTTCCTTTCCACAAGTCCAACCATTTATCCTCTATTTTATTTCAAGTTTATGGGTCCTTATGATCATTTATGAACTCTTGAATTATGGAATTACTACTACACATTCTATTATGGTCTATTTTTACATATTATCATGAAATGAAATTATTATGTGATGTTTATGGTTTTCATGCTTCCATGATCAAATTATGAAGGTTGATATATATATGTATGTTGTTGGTGGGCTGATTTATATGTATTTCGGAATTGGTTGGACTTAGTACTCTTGAAAGACATAATTTTATCTACATGAACAATAGCCCATCATGTGTTTGATAAAATGTCATTTATAGAATTCTTAGAAAATGGAAGGTCCAATGTACATCCTAGGAGTCGGATGATTATATAATTATTGAAATGATGATGAAAGGGATACATGTGTATGATTTCTCTATATAGTGTTGTGAGTCGACCAAGCCTAGTACGGGGGATAGTAGGCCCGTATAACCGTATCGAGGGGTTGGTACCTTGGTTGCCTAGTATGGGGGGGTAGTAGGCCCGTATAACCATATCGAGGGGTTTGTACCTTGGTCCCTAGCTCGGGGGGTGGTAGGCCCGGGTAACCACATTGAGGGGTTTGTACCTCTTTCGCCTCTCCAAGGGGGTGGTAGACCTTGAAAATACTATATTGATGGTCACGCGCCACACATGTACTACGTCCCACTAAATATGATTTTTATGTAAGCGTCATTATATATATCATTTCATTAATGTGCTATCTATCGGGTATGATTATGCATTTTTCCTATGATGTCCATCTATTGTAGCATTGCATTGCATCCCATATACTTAGTACATTCAAACGTACTAATGCATACTCTATGCCTACATGATGTCACCATGTAGGGACCGGAGCACCGCTTGACCATCCTCCTCGGCGTGGCTAATACGATTTTCTATCGAGGTTATTGGTGAGTCCTCCATTCCGGGGACGTTGCTTATGATTTTTTGCTATGTATAAGACTTTTTTTTTTTTTGTTATGTATTGACTATGAGGGTGAGCCCGGTAGTTTGTCTTGGCCCCCGCTAAGTACTCATGTTTAGAGGTGATGTTGGACAAGTTGTGTATTATGCTTGAACTTGACTCATCTATGGTAATTATGTATCATTTCTTCTTCTTTTTCTTGCTCCCTTAGTCCCGATTTTCCCCTTGATTATGCTTATCGCTTATGGTCATTTTAATTGCTTCCGCGACCAAGGATGTGTAATGATACGCTATGAGGCTTGTTTGGGGTTCCTTCGGGTTCCCCATTCGCCGGTCACGTCTAGGCCCTAGGCTTGGGTCGTGACAGATCTGATTTTAGTTTATTTTGGAAAATATTTTGAGTTGATGTTTATGAAAACATGTTTTGGGTGGCCAAACCTGAAGGTTTTTGGATGTTGGGAAAGTTTACAGGACCTTTTATTGAAGGACTGCAGAAAGCAGGAGTGTTTCTGGGTTAAAATTTTAATAAAACAAGCATATGATTGAAGGTCTGTTTCGTCCTTCCAAATGCATTTCATTTCTGTAATGATGGATTATGCTACAAAAACTTACCTACCAAAACGAAAAAAACAATAAACAAAAACAAAACAATGAGACTGGCAAAATTGGAAAAACCAAGTTGAACAATGAACTCATTTTGGAACATTCCCATCTATTTCAGCCTGATAGCTTCGTTGATTGAAATTAGTCCTTGTTCGAGCCCAAGTCTGTTTTTTCTTTCGCCTGCATGGTTATTTATCAACCATCAGGTATGAACTAAAATATTTTGGGCAATTAAAAAAAACAAGAAGAATTAAGTGGACATATGAAATGTGGATGTACTCAATATTGGATTAAATTAAGAATTGATACAAGTATGACTTTGATGCAACAAGTAGAACTATAATATGAATATTCAATATTGGATAAAATTAAGAATTGATATGACAATGACTCTGATACCATATTAGAAAGTGAAAAGCATACTGTATTTCAAAAAGGAAAACTATTTACAAGCGGCTATTCCTTTACTTTCATACCCCCTATTTTTAATCACTAATGCGCGTTTATTGCTTGATATCATCAAAGTATATATATATACTCCGATGGTGTCAAAGAGGAAGAAACAATGCTTCAGTGAAACCCCACCCAGTTATTCCTTGATACCATTAGAGTATATAATGGCATCAAAGAGGAACAAGTTGTGTTTTAGTAAAAAGATTGCGCAATTATTGTTTGATACCATTAGAGTATGCAAACATCAATAGAGTATATATACTATGATGATATCAAAGATGAAGAAGCAGTGGTTCAGTGAATAGAACAAGGGGGCAATCAGATAAACAGTTTAGGCCGTGTCCAATCAGGGTAAATACTTTATCTAATGAATCCAATTTGTATAATTTTCCCTATTAGAAAACGGATATGGATGAAACTCAACCCCTCAATAATTAGCTTATTACTGACAAATAACCACTACTATATAAAGAGAAGAACAACTCGTCACACAAATTGATAACATTCGTGTTCACTTTATCCCGAAGGACAATACTCGTATATTTAGACTTTTTACCATCCAAAAACAGCAAGGGCTATGCCTATCCATTTCCCAATGCCATTTTAATTTTCAAAGAGGAACTTCATTCGCTGCACGGAATAATTAAACAAAGCACTAGAACTATGATACACAACCTTACTTCTACTCAATTCTACCTTATAAAGTTAGAGGGACTGTTTTCGGAAAACTCAGCTGAGGTAAAACATATCAATCAAGTAAGAAAAGTAAACCATCAAAAATAGCACAAACCAGAAAGAAAAGGCGTTTCATGTCCAGGAATTATCGAATGCAGCGGAAGTCATCGCCTGAGCAAACTCCTCAAAGCTAATGCAACCATCACCATCCCTATCAGCTTCCTTGATCATCCCTGTTAACTCCTCTTGTGTAAGTGCATGTCCTAATTTAGCCATAGAATGCGCTAACTCCGCCGCCGTGATCACACCATTACCGTCCCTATCAAACATCTGAAAAATCTTCTTTAGCTGTTCCTCCGAGTATGGACACTTCGCCGCTATAAGCTCCGGCGCCACCAAAGCCACAAATTCCGAAAACTCAATCAATCCATTGCTGTTCCTATCTGTCTTCTGGATTAAATCCTCCAATTGATCATTACTCGGCTTTAATCCTAATGATCGAAGCAACGATCCGAGTTCAAGCTGCGTTAAACTTCCGTCATTGTTCCTATCAAATGACCGGAAAATCTCACGAAGCTCCGCAATTTGATCATCGTCAAGCTTCGGCTCTGCATCTCCACTCATGATCTCTAATCTCTATTCCAAATCTAAAAACTCCTCTAATCTCCTGTTTTCAACAACAGCCTCGCGTATTGATTATCAAGCCTTACACCCAATTATGAATGAATTACAATTCGCAATAATATTCCAATTGCGTAAAGATCATAAAATCTCTGCTAAAATTATTCAGAAATTTCGGATCTTTGAATTGATCAAATCAATAATCATTCATACAAATGATGAAGAACGTAACAGAAGGTAAGCCAGAAACCATAAATGTTACGCGTGTATATATTTTATTTATTTTTCGTTTATAATTTTGTGATAGAAATGAGCATCGGTTTGCGTGCCGTCACTCTCTGATTTTGATGATTGGGAGTTTTGAGATAAGGTAAGAGAAACCGTCTTGGCCTCTGTTTTTCAAATTTTCAAAAAGTTCGTTGAGCTAATCACGCGGATCCTCACTCCCTTACCCGCCACTGATTCTTTTTCTTTTTTATTAATTGAAATCTTAAGTGCTCTCTCTCCTCAATAATTATTGGACGTGAATTATTTTTATTTTTTTTAAAAGAAATATTTTAAAAATCTATAGTTCAAACTTATATATTTATATACTTTTGTTTGTAAATGATTAGAGATAGTGTCTAGATCTGAATAATTAATGATTATAGTTGTTATTTTTTCAAATTTTAATGACCATATGATTTAGTTACTTATAAACATAATAAATATATCAAATTAAAATAGTAATTAAATTTAAATAAAAAATTGTTATTTAATAAAAAAAAGTAGTACAATATTTATGTTTGCTAGTGATGAAGATGGCTTGTATGAATGATTAGTGTTATTGGATTGTAATAGTGGATGAGGTGATTGATGTTGTAGTGACTGACACAATGGTGATGATTGATAGTTATGACAATCATTATGATGGTGTTGTTGATAGTGTTATGGTAGTGGCTAAAGAATGTGTGGTGATTGATGATGGTGTTGTTGATAGTTGACGGTGATGCTAATTGTAATGGTGGAGCTAGGTGGTTGGTGGTAAGGATTGATTGCAATATAGTAATGGTTGATAATGATAGAAGTAGCGACGGTGGTGATGACAATGGTTATCGCAGTAAATATAATTATAATAATGGAAGTGGTAGGTGTGATAGCGATTGATAGTAATAGTTAACAACAATAATCGTGACAATGGTTATAATGGTTGACAACAATGGTGATAGCCAGTGATTACGGATAAAATGGCAGTGAAAATTATTAATAAAAAAATATTTATCAATAAAGAAACATATATCGTCATCTTCTTAAACCTATTATTAAAGATTGTCGGTATTTGTTGAAGGTCAATAAGGTAATGATTCGACATGTTTGGAAGGGAGGCAAACTAGTGTGTTGATTTCCTAACAAATGAAAGACGCAATCATAAAGAAGCTTTGATACTCTGAAATAGAGCAATTACGGATATGAAGTTTAATTTCTTCTCCTAGCTGACTAAACAATATTGTTTATGAACATCTTTAAAATCCTATTTTAATTTGCTATTAGTAATGTAAAGAAACAAAAAACTTCTGACATGTTGCAGTTGAAAATCAATTAATATGGAAGAGTTATCACTTGCAGTATTAATATTTGTGGAATAAGTTAGTTCCTTTCAAATACAACAATTGCATCGTTGAAATATTAATGATTTAATATCATCATAATATAATCCCAAAAGTGTATTTCTTTTTAAAAAATAAAATTAGAAAGCTGAGTGTTTTGCCCCTTTTTATATAAAAAAAATAGATAATAATAAGTGCTTTTAAGTAGTAGCAAAAACAGAAAAACTGTTTTTTTAGAAGTTAAAAAATAAAAAATAAAAAATCCTCCAAAGCAGTTAATTGCATTTTTTGTCTGAAAATGCAATAGTTTTTCGTTAAAGAGTGGGTCGGATCGGGTCATCCGGGACCCGGCCTTCTCGGTATGCCCAAATGCAAAGGTATAAATAGCCAACGAACTGTAACGTTTTATCCAATTTCAAATCTTCAAAGGGCGGGCGGTGAGATTTCTCTCGTTAACTTCTTCAGCGTCTTTTTCTCTCTCTACAAATTCGACATATGTATGAGAAGAACGCTCATATGGTAAAGTTTCTTCAGATTTCTTTAGTAGTTCGTTCAAAATTATTTCATTTTAGTACAGATTTCGAGTTTATGTTTATTCATTTTTAAACATAACTTGTGTTTTCTCTCTTTTGATCAGGAATGATATAGATTATAAGTAATAAAATCAACTCCGTTGTAATCCTGTCATTTTTTCTGAAAATTCGTTGCAATAAGAGTCAGAATTTTTATATAAATGTTCGTATTTTTACTGTTATGAGGCTTTTCTGCAGGCTGAAGCAGGGGATCGCTTATCTTGTCAAAAAAGAGTACCAGAAAAATATAAGCGTAAGAAAGATGTTCTGAATGCTGTTCAGAAAGTAACAAAAACAAGATCTGCAAGAAGAGTGAAGAAACCTAGTTTGCATGGCCCTTCTCATGGAAAAGTTTCTCAAGAAAGGAAGGCCGCTGGTCAGATTAGTATGGATGAATTTAATTGGACTGATACGATTAAAGAGTGCCCAGTATATCGTCCATCTAAGGAAGAGTTTGAGGATCCTTTGGTTTATGTGCAGAAAATTGCTCCTGAAGCATCAAAATATGGTACCACTGACAATTGGAAACTTTCTCTTGATATATTTCAAGGGTCGAACTAAGTGAACTTTGACAACAATGATTAAAATGTGTAATAGTGCTTTATTTCTATTTTGTTTTTGTTTTTTTGAAATATTAGCTATCAGAATTCATTAAACTGACCATCAATAAGCAAAAGGCGCTTAGGATGAAAGGAGTATAAGTATATGCTTCTTAGGTTATGTTTCCTACTTCTGATATAGACAATATCAGATCACAGCATTTTTGTTTCCTCTTTGTTACGGCCTTTTGGGATGTGTCGTTATAGGATTTTCTCACAAACCTGATAATGGCTCTTGGAACCTGAACCGTTAAATAAGTCTCTTTTGATTCATTCACTATACTGTTCTTTTTCTGAACATACAATGGTTAAGTTGAACTCTTATTGCTTCTTGCATTGTGCTGTGGTAATTGTCGTACTTTTTTCATCCATCTTCGGCTGATTGACCAGAACTGTATTGAATTTCAGGCATTTGTAAGATTGTCTCTCCCTTAGGATCTTCTGCTCCGGCTGGAGTTGTGTTGATGAAAGAGCAAACACGTTTTAAGTTTACCACTAAGCTGCAACCTCTGCGACTTGCTGAATGGAATAACAGCGATAAGATCACCTTCTTTACAAGAGGAAGGTATTATATAATGAGTGATGTTTGGTATCTTCTTTAGATATGCAAGTACTATCACTAAGTGATGGCTGCATTTACTGCACTAGAAACTGCTGCTATCATAATGTATCTCATCATTGACATTTTCATGCTACTTACCTGTTGGATTTTATATGGTAGTGTGATTCATGTCATCATGTATCTTATTTGTGCTCCAGAAATTATACTATTCGTGATTTTGAGATAATGGCAAACAAGGCAACTGCTCGAAGATACTGTATATCTGGATGCCTTCCTCCTGCATATGTGGAAAAGGAATTTTGGAAAGAAATGACATTTGCAAAGACAGGAATGGTTGAGTATGGAATTAATATAGATGGTAGTGCCTTCTCAAGCACTTTCACTGATGATCCTCTTGGATGTAGCAAATGGAATTTCAAGGTTCTACATATACTTTTGCTGCTAGTTTTTTGTACATCATTGATCATTCTGTCTTATGTTATCATCTTTCTTCGTTGTCTATGATGGACTGCATCCTAAGCTTATTGATGCATCAGAGTTCATATTTTACTGTTTGTCATGATAGTTTTCTGTGCTCAAGCACCATCCATCAATGTTGCTGTCTTTCTAGTTTTAGAATTTTTTTAGCAGTATTTCATAAAGATTTTCTAATTTCATTTAGATTCTTTTGTGTCGAAGCATAAGATTTGCAAATACCATAATTAATACACCTTTTCAATTTCATCCAATATCAAATTGTTGTTCTCTGTGCAGATACTTCCTCGGCTGCAAAGATCAGCATTACGCTTGCTTGTTAATGAAATACCGGTAGTGTATGATTGTAAATTCTGGGAACAATGCAGAATATCAGTAAAGGCTTCAATGATTTTGATATATTTATTTGTTTCAGGGAGTAACAGACCCCATGTTGTACATAGGGATGCTATTTAGTATGTTCGCTTGGCATGTAGAGGATCATTATCTCTATAGGCAAGTCATAGTATCAACATTCTCTTAGATGTTTCAGCCATTCAGTTTCTTTACATTTTCCTTGCTCTTTTGCCTCTCAGCATTAACTATCATCACTGTGGGGCGGCCAAAACTTGGTATGGAGTTCCTGGTCATGAAGCTCTTCAGTTTGAGAATTTTATTCGGCATCGTGTTTATAATGAGGAAATCCTATCAGAAAATGGGGTCAATGGAGTCTTTAATATTCTTCAAGAGAGAACAACAATGGTTTCTCCAAAGATTCTGCTGCAATATGGTGTCCCGGTTTACAAGGCTGTGCAAATGCCAGGAGAGTTTGTCATTACCTTCCCTAGAGCATACCATTCAGGATTTAGTCATGGTTAGATCTTGATAATTCACTTGCAATGACCATATATAATATGAAGGATATTACTTTGCTCATACAACTAATTTTCCTGGTTCCTGCAGGCTTTAACTGTGGTGAGGCCGTGAATTTTGCAATTGGTGAATGGTTTCCATTTGGAGCTGCCGCTAGTGAGCGTTATGCACTTCTTGGCAAGGTGCCAATTATTCCTTATGAGGAGCTCCTCTGTGCAGAAGCAATGCTTCTCTCAAAGTCTTCAGCTCACAGACCTTATTGCACAGCAGATTTAATTGATGTTCGTTGTGTAATGACTTCATTTTCATGCCTATTGAGATCATACCACCGTGCCCGCTGGTGCTTGGAGAAGTCGAAAACTTCTCTTAGAATGTGTTCAAAACCTCAAGGGTCATTTACCTGCATCCTCTGCA